CGTTCACCTGGAATGATACTACTGTATGAACTTCATGAATCTAACTATTCGCACGAATCTGAAAGCATTCTCAAATGGAAAGGTTCCACTTATAGTCTTAGACATAGCCATAACAAGCCACAGGACAAGTTATATGCTATCATATATGCAACTATAACGCTGACAAATCTAACAAATCTAACAACGCCCCTTACGATTCACGATTTGAAAAAAGTATATAAATTCAATATAAGGCCAGAAATACTTTCCTTAAAGTTTAAACATAGGCATAAATTTATCAATTTGCCATCACTTCATATTTACACTCAATGAATCTATTTACATGAATCTATTTACATGAATCTATTTATAATTCAAGTATGAGTGGTATTAGACTTATTTCCGGTGATATGCTGGAAATAAAAAACAGCGACACACAGACTAATTTGACAATTGTTGGTTTCGTGGTGCTGCTCAGTTTTAATTTTTTTAATTATTGTATTTTTTTATCTTTCGCAGAAAATATGTCTGGCAGTTTTTATCAGAAGCATTGAGGGTACTTTCTAAATCACTTATTTATCGGTTTTGCTGCCATTTTCTATGTTTTTGGTATTCCTGTATCTTTTTCGATTTTTTTTCTAATTTGCCCGCTTTTGCCGAGACAAAAACAAGTCAGCTAGTAGTCTGATAGACGTAACAAAATTTGGCATATCTGGGTTGGAGACCCAATTTTTAAAGTGGCACTCGCATCAAAATTTTTATTTTCTTAAACGAAAATGCTCTTAATACGGTATAGTAAATAGTAACATGTTTTGTTCCCATGCTTAGTTCTTGAGATATTTCATTTTGTTTGTAACCATATGACGTCATTTACTCAATTACATATATAATGGGATATCAGTGATTGTTGTGTAAAATATTTCCAAAGATGTGTCGCATTTGTTAATTTATCCTACATTATTATGCATACTGTTTTCTGTTAAACAACTCCATCAAAAATAGCAAAGATACACAACAATTACTGATATCTCATTATATACGTAATTGAGTAAATGACGTCAAATGGTTACAGACAAAATGAAATATCTGATCTCAAGAACTAAGCATGGGAACAAAAATCATCAATACAAGTTACTATACAGTTTTAAGAGCATTTACGTTTAAGAAAATAAAAATTTTGATGCGAGTGACACTTTAAAAACATACTATATCATACTGTATCGACGTACCCACTATATAGCCTTTGAATCATCAAGTTTCAAATCTTTCCATTCGCACGAATGAAGATAATTTTACTATATTGGACATTTATGAGATAAACAACACGAGATGATTCAGAAATGTCAACAATTGGCGTACACAATTCGAGGTCAAGGCATAAATACAAAGCGAAGGTCATCCCCGCTGTAAAAGTCTGAAATCCGGAAGTAGAATCACTATTTAGTGGAAAAGAACAAACTGTTGAGTGCAATGAAACCAGAGAATTGTTTTCTGAGAGGGCGAACTTATCCTTCGTAAATTACAGCGTTAGGAATAATTAAAAGGATAGTGTGTAGTACTCAATATGGTAACCCATTACTCAACAAGTGTTAATTATGATTCTGTTAAGTAAACTGGCTCGCAACAAAAGAAAATTGAATAATTTTTATTTTTGTTCCCCAAAAGGAAAACAATACTCTATTTCTTGACACGATGCGGTTTCTTCAGAGTCCACTCGACCCAGTCTTTCCCGCGAGTTACGTATTCTCTGTCTGTCTGTCTGTAGTTCGACATGATTTAATTAATCCAGATATTGAAGCTATAATTATCGAAATTATAAAACCAAACAGCAAAACATTTGTGATTGTTGCATCGTATAGGCCACCGGAATTTTCTCCTGATTTTTTGATTGACCAAATGACGAATATAATCAAACAGCTTGAACACGAGTCAAAAGATATATTTATATTCGGTGATCTAAATTGTGACTTATTATGTAACAGGTCTCATAGGGCAACTTCGCTTTTAAATTCATTTGCGCTAATTTATCAGCTTCAGCAACTTATTGACGAACTTCCAAGATGTACTGCAAGCACCAGAACTTTAATTGATGTAGTTTACACAAATTGCATCTGGTGTTATACGCTTAGGAATAAGTGACCATGATCTTATTTATGCCATACGGAAAGTAGAGTGATCTGATCATATAAAGCATATTGTAAAAAAACATATGCATAAAGTGGTGAATAAAAGAAATATGAAAAATTTTAATGTTGATAGCTTTATAAATGACCTAAGTAACCTTCCCTAGTAAAATTTAGATTGTCTTTTAAATTAAACGTTAACAACTGGTGGGATTTATGGAAAAAAATATTCATGACTGTAGTAGATAAACATGCGCCATTCAAAAGCAAGCGAAGACGAAATAAAAACAATCCTTGAATGACTCCTGAAATAAAAACACTTTTGATAAATCGAGACAAACTAAAAAGAAAAGCGGTGATTTCTAATGATACAGATCATTGGCTTCACTTTAAACTTGCCCGAAATAAGAATAATATGCTGAAAGAAGCAAAAAGAGATTACTATCACAGGTTGTTTGCAGTCAACCAAGGAAATTCCAAAGAAATTTGGAATACAATAAATGAGTTAATGTCCAGAAGTTCGAAATCTCAAATATTTCTTCCCTTTTAATAAACAACAAGACGCTCTACGGAGCGTTAACTCGCTGGGACTATACAAATACGCGCATTACTGCATGGATACATACTGTACACAGCTATTTCAATTAAGATTTAATTAAGGTTTTCCCCCAGCTAAGCGAAAAAGTCGAATACGAGCGCGAATTTAAAGGCTTAACACAGTACTAAAATGCGGTAGGCCCTGCATTTTTATATAATTAGTTTAATAATTTTGAGCGATTTGTCAACAATACAATTTCGCTTGACTTTCAAAGACAAAGGCCATAAATCGCTAGAATACTGTTGTTTAGTAATATATTTGGCATCCGTAATTAGTACAATTTCTAACGCTGAATCGAACAGTGGTATTTTCATCCTTATTGCGCCATTAGACATTACAAAACATTATGAAACGTACTGCGAGTGATTTGTCAACAATACGTACTGCGAGCGATTTGAAAACAATACAATTTTGCTTGATTTTCAAAGGCCATAAATCGCTAGAATACTGGTGTTTAGTAATACACTTGACATCCGTAAGTACACTTTCTTACGCTGAATCGAACGGTGTCGCTTTCTTCTCAAAATCTTAAGACCCTGTCACACTATTGCGCATGAGAGAAACGTATGAGAAGCGCATGAATATTAATAAAATAATTTTCATACGCACAAAAATCTTTTGAAATGCCAGCGTATGAGTACCGTACATCTGGCGTACCTCTAGCGTATTCAGCGTATGCCTAGAGTATGCTTATCGTATAAAGCATACGTCCGATACGCACAAAATTTTTCAGCATGCTTAAAACATTTTTCTGCCTCGCCGTATGCCAGCGTATGCCACCGTACGCGACCGTGCCTGAAACGTATACAACCTATGCCTAACGTACCCCTAGCGTATGTTACCGAATACCGGCGTATGAGTGATTATTATTATTATTATTATTATTATTGATCTTTAAACACGGTAACCTTTCACATAGGTGATTTTCAAAGGGCCGTGCGGAAAATAAATGCAATATAAAAGAAGGAACTAATAAACTAAATTATACTTATTTACAAAATATACTTATTTACTTATTTACTTATTTACAAGATGTAATTATTTAATAGATGATGAACAGATTTTAAACTTGCTGATTCTCTTAGGGTTTTCAACAAGTTTACTGGGATGTTGTTCCAATACGCTGTTCCTCTGTACGAAAAGCTATTTTTCAAGAAATTCGTTTTTGGTTTAGGTTGAGACAGCTTTAAATTACTACTGCGCAGTACGTAACCATTGTTTTCGCAAGTGTGAAATAGTTGTGTTACGTATTCTGGAAGCATGCCATTAATCGCTTTAAATGCCATAAGGAGATCTCGCTTTTTCAAAACTAAATCAAGAGGTTTCCAGCTAAGTTTTTGAAAAATGTCCGAAGATCTTATAGTATAGTCCGAATTTGTTATTATTCTTACTGCTCGTTTCTGAAGTTTATATAATTTGTCTAAGTGTGTTTGGTTGTTATTTTGCCAAACAGTTGAACAGTAGTTAAAATGAGGCGCGACTAATGCGTTATACATAATTTTGAGCGTATTTAGGCCAACAAAATCTTTGGCTTTTCTTAAAAGATTAATATTTTTTGATATCTTGTTGCATTGTTCTTCATTTTGCCTATTCCAGCTAAGTCTATCGTCTATAACTATACCCAAAGCTTCCTTTTTATAAACTCGTTCAATTTGATGTCCGTTTATACTGATTTTTGGCACGTGATCTAAGTTTTTCAATCGTTGCCGAGATCCAATAATCATATATTTGGTTTTTTCGTTGTTTAATGTTAGTTTATTCGCTGATAACCATTTTTGAGCATTTACTAGGTCTTTGTTAAGTTTGTATTCAATATCTATGGATAAATGCCCTTGACATGATAAAATTGTGTCATCAGCAAATAAATTAGAGTGTGTTGTTTCTAGGCAGTTTGGGAGGTCGTTTATGTAAATGAGAAATAATAGAGGTCCAAGATTTGAACCCTGAGGTACTCCACAACGAATTGTTTCAATATCAGATTTACCGTTATTTAGCATGCAAATTTGCTTTCTTTGATCTAAATACGATTGGAACCATTTGAGCGTATGGTCGCGTATCCCATAAGCTTGTAGTTTTGACAATAGAATCTGGTGATCAATCGTATCAAATGCTTTTTTCAGGTCTAAGAAAATAACCCCATTTATTTGACCCTGGTCCATTGATTTCAACCACATTTCAGTAGATTGTAGTAACGAGGTTTCGGGTGAGTGATTGCGACGGAAACCTGATTGATTTTTTACAATTATGTTGTTGTTATCCAGGAAGGTATTTAGTTGTCTACAGACTAATTTCTCAAATATTTTGGCGATATTTGAAATGACTGATATCGGTCTATAGTTTTCACATAAGGTTTTGTTTTCTGACCTATATATTGGAGTCACTTTGGCAAATTTCCAATCATCTGGAAATATTCCTGTCCTAAGAGATAGGTTAAACACTTCTAGAAGTGATTCAGTTATTGTATCGCCTGCCTGTTTTATTAGCTTAGTTGAGATCTTATCTAGACCTGTAGATTTTGCCATTTGAATATTTTGTATTTCTCATTTCAGCTCATAGCTTGATATGCTATGAAAGTGAAATACATTTGTGACTTGGTCTATATATGACAAAGGATCAGGACTACAGCCATTGTCAGCAATGTTATTTGCTAATTTGGGACCTATAGAAGTGAAGAATTTATTAAACTCGTCGACTATGGCTTTATCTTGTGTTACATTTTTTCCATGTTCTACGTTAAGTTCATTAACAATTGTGGTTTTAGATTTCCTATTAAGCAGATTATTTAATGTATTCCAACCTTCTTTACTATTTTTACTGTTTTGTAGTTTAGTGTTGTAAAATTGAACCTTAGTTGCTTTGATTCTTTTGTTAAGTTCATTTCTACAACGTTTATAAGCTTCGTGGTAATTAGAAGAGTTGAATTTGACCGCTTTTTGTTTCAAGTAGAATTTATGATGCGCAAGGTTTTTTATTTCGTTTGTCATCCAAGGACAGTGCTCACTTTTGACTTTCCGAATCCGAAGTGGAGCATGCATATTTGCAATATCAAGAAAAATAGTTTTCCATACCTTCCACGCATGATTTGGGTCGGCATAATTATAGAGGTTGTAGTGTCTTTGAAATGCCATTTTTAAGTCGTATTGAAATGCAGATGAGAATTAAAGTATTTAAACTGCCTTGTTTCTACAATTTTTGGTTCAGCCCTAGGTATTCCTACTTTGCGGCAAATGTACACTAAACTGTGATCACTCAGTCCTAAATGTATCACTCCAGAGTTTATAATTTTGATATCGCTTGCTTTAGTCATTATTATGTCAATTAATGTTTTAGATGTTGTCGTTATTCTAGTCGGACTTGTAATGTGTTGCTTTAGCTGAAACTCATTTATCAGATCGGATAACCTTTTTGTATGATGAGTGGGACTGTTTGCTATCATATCGCAATTTAGGTCGCCAGTGATAATAATATCAATATTTGTATCATCTAGTTTTCGCAGTAACGTTTCGAAGTCGTTTAATATGCTAGTGTTAGAATTTGGTGGACGATACCATGTAACAATTAAGAGTGGTTTTGACTTAGGTTTTTGAATTTCGAGACAAATAGATTCTAAGTTGTCATGGAATGAATTCGATATGGTTTTTATAACTAATGATACTTCTTA